AACTGGTATTGCAGAGCTTATAGCTTATGAAGTATCAAAACAGGTACTTGTCAAGTTAAACCAAGCATAAACCTATGTTTCTTATAATTCATCTTGTGTTTTTTGTTGTTTTAGACAAATGTTCCAATTGAGGAGACCCGCAAGAAGATCTGGCTTGTGGACTCGAAGGTGGTAGAAAGTTTAATGAAGCTTATGACAGAAGAAGCATAATTATTTCTTTATGTGTTCATGCCATTGCTCTCTTGCTTCAACCATAAACAGAATGATGTTGTTGTAGGGATTAATTGTCCGCTCCCGTAAGGATTCACTTCCACACTTCAAGAAGCCATGGGCTCATGAGCATCAACCTGTTAAGGATCTATTAAGTGCTGTCAAGGTGTGTACCATCTCTTAATCTCTAAGTCCTTTGTTGTTGCTCACCTTTTCTCACTATTTCAGGCAATTAAGCCAACAGTTTTGATTGGATCATCTGGAGTTGGAAGAACATTTACGAAAGAAGTGGTGGAGGCTATGTCCTCCATCAACCAGGTTCTTTCTTCTCCCTCACCGACTCATGCCTAACCAAATATACAAATTAGATAGATGCTAAGAATCGGTGATTCAACAGCAAACGCAATAAGAACTTCGCATAGAATACTTTCAATGGAGAAGATCCGTCGACCTAAGATGAAGAGAAGGGTTGAGAATTGTGAGATCCCACGTCGGTTGGGGAGGAGAATAAAACATTCTTTACAAGCATGTGGAAACCTCACCCTAACAGACGCGTTTTAAAAACCTTGAGGGGAAGCCCGAGAGGAAAAACCCAAAGATAACAATATCTGTTAACAGAAGACTTGAGCTGTTACAGTTGGTACCAAAGTCAGATATCAGGCGATGTGCCAGCGAGGAGACAAAGCCTCGAAGTGGTGGATATGAGGTGGTGTGCTAGCAAGGACGCTGGACACTGAAGGAGGGTGAATTGGGGGTACCCACATCGATTGGAGAAGGGAGCGAATGTCAGCAAAGACATTGGGTCCTGAAGGAGGGTGGATTAGGAGATCCCACATCGGTTGGGGAGTAGAACGAAGTATACACATTTTAAAAACTTTGAGAAAAAGCTCAAAGAAACAATATCTGTTAGCAGTGGACTTAGATTGTTGTAACATATTCCCCGATAGAAACTGACACTGTTTTTGTCGTACCATTGTGCAGAAACCTCTCATTATGGCTCTTTCCAACCCAACATCTCAATCTGAATGCACTGCTGAAGAGGCTTACACTTGGAGCAAGGTAATATCACATGACATTTTAAAGCCAAAGTTTTTCCTCTCTTTTTCATTGGAACCTCTCTATTTACTTGGCTTCTATATGCAAATTGAAGGGTCGTGCAATCTTTGCTAGCGGAAGTCCTTTCGATCCATTCAAATACAAAGGGAAAACCTTTGTCCCTGGCCAGGTTTTTCTACTTTTGTCATTATGTTGGATGAGTTACTCTTCATCACTGTTGTCCCATATCAAGAGCTGACATATTGAGCTTGTCAAATCTCATATCAGGCCAACAATGCCTACATATTCCCTGGCTTTGGTTTAGGTATTTTAATTTCCGGAGCAGTTCGTGTACATGACGACATGCTTCTGGCTGCCGGTAAGTAGGATTGTTTAGTTCTTAACTAATCTTGTCTAGTTAGAAACAACAGACATCTACAATAGTAACAATAGGCTCACCAAGCTGACTTGTATCTTATTTCACCTTTGTGAAACTAGCGGAAGCATTGGCTGCCCAAGTCTCCAAAGAGAACTATGACAAGGGGTTGATCTACCCACCCTTCACTAACATCCGAAAGATCTCAGCACACATTGCAGCTAATGTGGCTGCCAAGGCATATGAACTTGGTGAGACATTTTCTTTGAATATGTTACTATTCATGTAGTTTTGAGTACTCTTCCATAACATAAATTACTTATTCGCCAGGCTTGGCAACCCATCGCCCGCGCCCGGCAGATCTTGTCAAGTATGCTGAGAGCAGCATGTACAGCCCCGTCTACTAAACCGACCGATAAATGTAATGAGATCTCGAGCAGCATGTGTGTGCTTAAGAGACAACTCCCAAAATCTTTACTTATAATGGTATAATGTTTTTGCTTCATAAGTCAACTTCTTTATTAATGAAATAAGCATTTTGATGAACTTCTACTAATAAATATGTGTTTTTTAAAATTTCCGTCAGTTATGATCTTGTTTGATATTAGTACGGTGACAAGTTAGATAATTTTTTTTTTTTTAATTTTATTAACTTTTTTTTTATGTTTTATCGTAAATAAATCCGACATTGAAAAATATTGATAATGTGATTTCTTCAAATTTATGAATATTTATAAATAAATACGCCTATCGATTAACCATCTTTTTTAACTAAAATATTCTTAAAATATTTTAGGTCATCTTAGATTAATTTAACCTCAAATAATTTTGAAAAAATAAAAATACTTTTTTTTATATAATCTAGAGATATTTTTTTATAATTTATTATAATTAAATTATAAATTTAGTCTTTTCACAATTTAACTTTTCATAATATCTAGGCAGTAAGTTTTCGTATTGAATTTGATGTGTTAGTTTCTATGTTCCACGTGTTACCCTTCCACCAATCACATGGATACAACGCCGTGTGAACTGTACAAATGAAAGTACAGGAACACGTTGATGCGACGTCAAATGGGGCCCACTTAGCAGAACTAGTTAATTATCCTGGCTTTTTAGTCAGCCAGCTGCCAATCTCATCGACGTGAACCACCCTCAGAGAATTCCAGCCGTTGGATCTTGAAAACGTGTCAGAATCGTTGCAGTGAATGTTTCCTTTTGTGAATTTTAAAGCAAAAGAAGATTTTTATCATCCAATGAAGAGTCAGCATGGTTAGTCGACCAGAACAAGGGCGTGAACTGAACAACATGGGATGAGAGAAGGACACGTGGCGGTCGAAGCGAAAAGTGATTCGAGTAAAGACGAAAAGAAAAAGGAAAAACAGTCAATCCCTGATGGCCTTTCCTTCCCCAAATGTGTGTACACGTGTCGACATCATAGCTGTCCTTTCTTCTTCGCCCTTTTTATCTCTCCCTTTGCTCTTCCTTCATTCTCTCTCCCTCCCTCTCTCTCTCTCGCTCTCTCTCCGTCCGGGAGACTACCGACAGGGAGCCATGGACGATTCTGACCACCACCAACTCCACCAAGCCGATTCTCTTTCTGGTTTATCCATACTCAGCACCGACGATTCCAGAACCTCCTCCAGTTCCGGCGAGATTCCTGCTTCTATTCGCACCGAGTCGATGAAGGTGTCGGAAGCAGGGAGGCGGAAGTGCGTGGGGAGGAACAATAGAAGCGGACTGCACTGGGGGCTCACGTCGGTTATTGGACGGCGGATGGAGATGGAGGACGCTATCGCGGTGAAGCCGGGATTAATGTCTTCAAGATGCAACCACGTCGGAGGTTGTACGGCTCCAGATTCCAGAACCTCGGGTGAGATCTCGCCCGTTCATTTCTTCGCCGTTTACGATGGTCACGGCGGCTCTCAGGTGCGTCCTCTCAAATTTCCATCCGCGCTGCATTTCTCACCTAAAATCCCAATTAGGGCTAATTTTCGGCTGATCTTTACCAGAAACAGCCTCCCAGAATTAATTTGCACATAGCCAGTTTTAGATTATTAATATTATTATTACTAAGCGGCAGCACATGTCACTCAATGAGTGGTCCTCAGTGGAAAGAATTTTGGATGCTCCCATTTAACGTAAGGACACGTGTTGTTGAAATCAGGGAGATCAATGGAATTTAATATTCCGATGACGTAATAATCATTTTGGGGATGACGAAAACAGGGGTCTTCGTCTGACGTGTTTTAAAAATATATATTATTTTTCTCAAAAGAAGATTTATCTTGAGATAGGTACAAGATCTGTACGCAGGATTTTGGGATTCTTGGGGAGCTGGAAATTTTAGATCTAAGTTATATTTGAATAATTGATTCCAGAAGTGCATATGGTATCATTAGCTGACATCCTCCGGCGCGGATTCGTATATATATGAACTGTAGGTGGCCAAATTCTGTGCGGAGCGAATGCATGAAGTGATAGCAGAAGAGTGGGGAAGAGAAGGGATCAACGGCCATGATTGGCAGAAGAGATGGGAAGTAGCCTTCTCTAATGGCTTCCAGAGGACTGATAATGAGGTTGTTTCAGAGGCGGTTGCGACCGACATGATCGGATCCACGGCGGTTGTACTCCTTCTATCTGACTGCCAGATTATCGTTTCCAATTGCGGCGACTCTCGGGCGGTTCTTTTCCAGCGGAATAAAGCGATTCCATTAACAGTCGATCAAAAGGTCACACTAGTTGTTCCAAACCATTATAATTTTTCCTAGTTTACAGAAATCAAATCATTAAGGGGGCTGCTGCATTTGTTTTATTGATGGTGTTACAGCCTGATAGAAAGGACGAACTGATGAGAATTGAGAGAGATGGAGGCAAAGTCATAAACTGGATGGGCGCTAGAGTGCTTGGAGTTCTTGCCATGTCAAGAGCCATAGGTTTCCGCCTCCCCTCCCTTCCCCTCCATGTCGATGTATAATTACATACATTTGCCTCTCAGCTTGACCATTGTCTTTCTGTGTATGGATGGTGTTCAGGGGATCGATATCTTCGGCCGTGGATAATTCCAGTCCCGGAAGTTAGTTTCACGACCAGGAGTGATGAGGATGAATGTGTGATTCTGGCAAGCGACGGGCTCTGGGATGTAATGACGAATGAAGAGGTTGGGCAGGTGGCTTGCCATCTTCTCAGGCGGCACCGCAGGTCGTCGACAACCGATAACACACCTCCGGCGCAAATTGTTGCTAATAATCTCACTGAAATGGCATACGGAAGAAACAGTTCTGATAACATTTCTGTCATTGTCATCGATCTGAAAGCCAGGAAAGGACACCCACAGAGGCAGTGATAGAACAAGTTGGACCATTCATATTGTTCTTCTAAAATCTTGATGTCTGGAAGGGAAGATTCTAATAGCTCCACCCTGTTCTCTTCCATAACTGATAGAGGTAGCAAACCATCTTTGTTTTGCTCACTGTTCTCACCACACTGCACCAAAAACATGTACAGAACCCACTAACAAAAATGGAAAATCTGCTTTACTTGGGCTAAACAGGTAGTAGTTCTTCAACATACCAATATTTATAATTCGCTCACTGTATGAGCCCCTAAGTAGCAATTTGGACAACACAATACATTTCCAGACTATACAACCTAATTGTACATCACTATACAACATCTTAGCTTTGGCTATCTCAAGACCAAAACGCCAATGCAGAGTCCTAAATGATCTGGTTCCACAAGCAAAGCAAGTAGAAATTTGAAGCACAGCTAAAACTGTAGAGGTTGAGGGTTAGGGGTGAATTTGGAGGTTAGCAAGATTAAAGAAAGCACCCCTTCGGTGATTGAGTTGAGCATAGGATCCTTGCTCAACCACCTTTCCATCAGCCACAAAGGCAATGGAATCCAGCTTCTTGATGGTGTTCAGGCGGTGGGCCACGACGAGGGTCGTCCTTCCTACCATAATTCTATCCAGTGCTTGTTGCACAACTTGCTCAGATTGAACATCCAGAGCGCTGGTTGCTTCATCCAGCAACAGAATTGTTGGGTTTCGAATTATGGCTCTGGCTATAGCTAGTCTCTGCTTCTGTCCTCCTGAGAGTTGCACTCCTCTTTCCCCACATTCTGTCTCGTAACCATCTTTCAATGACCTACACCCACCATCCCCCAATGAAATAGATTCAAAATAACCAAGTCAAAGCATGGCCGAACGATTGTGAAAAGAACAGCAGACTTACGAGATAAACTCATGGGCATTGGCGGCTCTGGCGGCCTCCACAACCTCATTCTCAGAAGCGTCGAGCTTTCCAAAGAGGATGTTGTCGCGTATGGTGCCGGAATAAATCACTGGCTCTTGGCTTACAAGTGCCACATGCTTCCTGTACCATTGAAGATCCATTTCTCTGATATCCACACCGTCCACTTTCACCCATCCCTTCCCCACATCATAGAACCTCAGTATCAGAGCAATTACAGTTGATTTTCCACACCCACTTTTCCCAACTAGCCCAACGCTCGTCCCTGCCTTCACTTCCAAGCTGAATTGGCGCAGCACCATGTTATTTGGCCTGCTTGGATACCAAAAATCCACTCTCTTCATCTCTATATTCCCTTTTAGCTTTTCCAACTTCCTCCCTCTCCCTTCCTACCAAATCAAACAGTATTCAAATAGAGTTCAGCTTTGGAAATGTTGGAGATAAAGTTCTTTTCGTTCTGTAATTTGCCAAAAAAGGGGTGTTTGCATACCTTTGATGGATCAGAAATGAGTGATTTTCGGTCGAGAATCTCGAACACTGAGGCAACAGCTGCTGAGCCCTTGGCTAAATGTGTTGTCATGCTGCCAGCCTCGGCAATGACCTTGCCGGTGCTTACTAAGATAAAGAAAGTTTTGAACACATCCCCTGCAGATATTTGACCTTTCTCCACGAGTGTTCCACCAAACCAGAAATCCAATGCCCATGACATGAATGTTAGGCATTGAGCAGACCCCATGCCAATCCCTGCAAACCATGATTTCTTTCTAGCTTCCTTTCTTGGTGCCTCCTGTGCTTTGTCGAAGATTTCAAGGACTTTCCCAATGCTGCTGAAGGATGTTACTATTCTATGATTATACACTGCTTCTACAGCTATTTGTGTGCTTTGATTCTGTGCCTTGATGAAGTTTGTGGAAATGGTTGAGAGGAGGACTTTCCGTGTGTAAAAGCAGAGAATTGTGAGTGGCTGGACGGCTATCATAACAAGGGCGAGCTTCCAGGCCACTGCTAGACCAAGGATCATTGCTATGGTCACAGCTGAAGTGGTTTGAACTAATAGAGAAACTCTGTCAGCTACAAGAGACTTGACCAAGGAAGCCTCATTGCTCAATCTTGAACACAGAGCTCCACTAGAATTTTGCTCCTTATCAAACCAAGCTGTTTCAAATGTCAAGATCTTTTCAAGTGTCCTCAGTCGAATTCTTTTCGTCAAATGCTCGCCCATATACGCGAAATTATAATGTTGAACAAGGTTCAAAATGATGGATATCAGAGTGAATGAACAGAAAATCAACGAGTACGTCCTGATTCGAACTTGCATTTCGTAATGGCTTGGAGCAAAGAAAGCTGATATCATACCTCCAATGGTGAGTGCATATATAGGCTGCACTGCCCCAAAAGCTATAGCTGAGAAGCTTCCAGTTAGCGCTTGCTTCCATTCTGGAGAGTTTAAAGATAAGAGACGAATAAAGGAAGGTGGCTTAGGAGAAGTTGATTGAGGGGTCTCCATAGGCAGTGGTGATATTGCAAAGACTGCTGGGCTTGATTTTGCACTGCTTCTTCCAACCGAAGAGGTATGTATTTCTATGTTTTGTTCAACATCATCATAGCTTGTTAGTCGCTGCAATTTCACTAGTTTTGCATAGTGACCAACTTTTCGGTTGATAAGATCATCGTGGGAACCAATTTCAACTACACAGCCACCACTTACAACAGCTATAAGGTCTGCATTTCTGATTGTAGATAGCTTATGTGCAACTACCTGATCATGAATCAGTGAATGAACCTCAAAATTTATCTCAAAATTACTCAACTACTCAAAATTTGGACAAATTTGGCTTACCAGAGTGGTTCTTCCCAGAGAAGCTTGATCGAGCGCATTTTGGACCAATGCTTCTGATTCAGAATCAAGAGCACTGGTAGCTTCATCAAGCAGGAGAATGGCAGGATTCTTAACGATTGCCCTAGCTATGGCGATTCTCTGCTTTTGTCCACCAGATAGAAAAGCCCCTCTTTCCCCAACCTAGGTTACACTACGACATTCAATTGATTTCCCAAGCAAAAGAAATGCAGATAAAACGGCAAGGAAGAACATTACGAACCTTCGTCTCGTACCCTTCAGGAAGCTGGGTAATGAAATTATGAGCATTGGCCGCCATGGCTGCACCCATAATCTCGTCCATGGAGGCGTCGAGCTTCCCAAACAAAATGTTCTCCTTAATCGAAGTTCCAAACAGAGCATGCTCCTGACTGACGAGACCCATTTTCCCTCTAATCCATTTAAGCTGCAATGTCTTGATATCGACGCCATCGATCTTCAAAACTCCATCATCCGCATCATAAAAACGTTGCAACAAAGCAATGGCGGTGGACTTGCCGCTCCCACTGGCGCCGACGAGGGCGACGGTTTTTCCAGCATCGACTTTGAGATTGAAATCCTTGAGGACGAATGAATCGGGGCGTGAGGGATATGCAAATGTGATGCGATCGAATTCAATTTGGCCTTGGAGACTTTGAAGAACAAGGCCTTTTGTGTCTTCTCCATCAATCAATGGAATCCGATCGATCCTCTCAAATATTCGCGATGCTGCCACTGAGGCCTCTGTCAAGTGCTTCAAATCCGGAAGTGCCACTCCCAGCGACCTGCATTCCAAGTTCGTTGGAGCAATTCTAATGAATCATAATGTAACCGTAATTGAATATGCAACAGATCAATCAAACTAAACAAAACCCAAAGCCTTCCCAAATTTGTTGGAATAGAAACGTAACAGTATTACATGCATCAAGTCTCACGGTCGGACCACATCTCTCTGCTGACAACTAAAATGAAACATTCTTTATAAATGTGTGAAACTTCTTTCAAAGCAGACACATTTTTAAACCGTGAGGCCGACGGTGATATGGAATGGGCTAAACAGACAATATCTGCTAGCGGTAGCCTTAGGTGGTTACAAATTGTATCAAGGCCAGACACCGGGCGATGTGCCAGCAAAGAGGTTAAACCTGAAGGGAGGTAGACACGAGACGGTGTGCCAACAAGGACGGTGAGTCTCAAAAGGGGTAGATTGGGGGATAGGGGTCCCACATCGATGGGAGAAGGGAACGAACTCTGAGTCCCAAAGAGGGTGGATTCAGGGTCCCACATCGATGGGAGAAAGGAACGAGTAACACCTAAGACGCTGGGTCCCGAAGGAAGGTAAATTGTGAGGTCTCACATCGATTAGGGAGGAGAATGAAATATTTTTATAAGGATGTGGAAACCTCTCCCTAGCAGGTAGCGTTTTAACCGAGACGACAATAAGCTAAATAGAATTTCAAAACTTTTATGCAATACCAAAAGTAAGAGAAAAGATGAAACCTTAATCTCGATGCAAAAAAGATAGATAGATAGAGATGTATATAGAAACGTACAAGCCAGCCAAAATGAAGGAGATGCCAGCAGCATAGATTTTGCCACCACTTTCGCCTTTATACATCACCAAACGGCTGCCATACCAAGCAATCAAAGCCCATATAGCAAATGCCAGCCCCGAGCAGCCCACAGCCAACCCTTTAGCAATGCCTTGCTTTATCCCCAACCTCGTTGTTCTATCCAAGATGGTTCTATAATTCTCCAAAACCCTCTTCTCAGCTGTGAATGAATATATGGTTTTTATGGAGCTTAGCGCTTGTTCAACTATGGCGTTTGCTTTCCCATACTCCTCACGCCTCTTGTTTGTTAAATATACCAAATATTTGCCGTACGTTACTCCTGGAATTACCAGTAATAATAGTGTTGGAAACACTACTATTGCTAATCTCCAAGAAAAGTAGGTCGAGAAAGCCAGCCCCGAAAAGAACACCGATGAGTTCATAACAAATAATGGGACCTACGAACAATGTTTTAGAACCATTAGAGGAAGAATCAACATTGCAAATGAAGAACAAAGTTTGTACCTTTTCGCTTAGAACTTCTTGTAAGAGAGAGGTGTCTTTTGATATACTGTTGACAACCTCTGATGTAGTTGCTTCTTGTGAATCAAAAAACCCTACTTCTTGTCTCAGTACTGCTTCCAAATATTTATGTCGAATTTTCATTACTTGTCTCTCGCTGGTTTTACTCCAACAATACCCTTCTACAGTTCACAAATGAAACACATACATACTTTAGTTTATACTCTATAATAGCACAAACACATCTCTAGCAGATATTGTCCATTTTAACTCGTTACGTATCGTCGTCAGCCATACGGTTTTAAAACGTGTCTATTAGGGAGAGGTTTCCACACTCTTATAAGGAATGTTTCATTTCTCTCTATAACTAATGTTGGATCTCACAATTCACCCCTTTTGGGAGCCAGCGTCCTTAACTAAGAATTCTTGTAGTTTCGGAGAATCTAGCTACAGGAGAACCATGAACGGAGAGCTTTCCCCCCTTTTCTGCCTGCCTCTTTGGCCTTAAGAATGTTGGTTTTAAGAATGAGTGATGACCCTTCTCCATCGCTCACTGCCCAACCGGATAACGGACAGCTAATGCATTCCACTTATTGCACAGGGTTCTATGGTCAGTCCGCAACCCCTAGATACCTAAGGCGTCCTTGGGGTGATCTCGTAGTTCCTACAGGGTGGAGACGATGGGGTTGGTCCATGGATTTTCCTTCCTTTTGCCGCATTTCACACACTCGTTGTCGGACTTTGATACCATTTGTAACCGCTCAAACCTACTACTAACATTGTCTCATGAAATTTAAAACGCGTGTCACATGGGATTTGTTTGTTGTTAGTCTAATGCAATTTTTCGAAGCTTGAAATGTGGTATCTTATGAGTTGAGTTATGTTTCGTTCTAAAATTTCATGAGACGAAACGAGGTCGGGATGGAAATAATTGTCTCCTTAAGTAATGACAAAACCCAGATGCTTTTCTTGCAATATTCATAAAGCAAAACAAAGATAAGAGGAATGAAAAAGAAGGGTTTTTGAAAGTTACCCATAAAAGCCACGATCATCACAGCAAGCCCCAAGTAAACAAAGTATAAGCTGCACTGTTAAAAACCCCAATAGAAAAAATAAGAAACAGAAACCCAAAAAACACCCCAAAAGATGGAAGAGAATTTAATGAGAGGTACGTTTGAGTTTATCCACTAACCTTCTCCACATTATCCATGAAGTTGTCATGGACTTTACCATTCCCCAAACTGTTCATAAGACTGCTAGCAAAAACCAGCAAACAGTTGGTGGACATTCCATCTCCAATTGCTCCAATTGTGCCCAAAAACATAAGCAAAACATCAACCCAATCAGCATATCTAAAAATGGCACCAACTGATTGCTTCTGATCTCCGACCCTTCTCTCTTCCTTTCCATCTCTTGAACTCATCTCTGCAAATTGAGCTTCTCCTTCAATGGTGGAAATGAAAGAGACAATGCGTTATATTTATACAAAACAAGAAAAAAGTGGTTTTGTATTGATTGTCCATGAAACACAACTCCAAATGAGCATGAGCTTTATGTGGGGCTATAAAAAAACACAAAAAAAATCATGATTTTGGTGGGTTTAGCTTATGAAACTTTTAAATGGGTTTAAACAAAGATGAGTAGTGCGCAATTGTCAAATAAAAGGCACCTCTTTTTGTTGTCTTTATTTTTAACATTTTTATATTGGTTTATTTAGTGTTCTATGCTGATTACATATCAACCTTTTTATGCAAAAACAGTGTAACCATTATGTTCTAAACTTCATTTCTCCATCGATTTTCATCACATTCATGATACCCTTATCGTCTTCTTTTCCTTTTCTCCCATTTATAATTCTCTAATAATTCAAACGGTTATTGTGACTGTGACATCCCACATCAATTGGGGATGAGAACGAATCATTTTTTATAAGAACATGTAGACCTCTCCCTAGCCAACACATTTTAAAAAACCTTGAGGGGAACCCCAAAAGGGAAACACCAAAGAGAACAATATCTACTAGCGGTAGGCTTGAGCTGTTACAAATGGTATTAGAGCTAGACATTGGGCGATATACCAGCGAGGAGGCTGATCCTCGAAAGAAGGTGGACACAAGGCGGTGTGACAACGAAGACGTAGGGTCCCGAAGGGAGATGGATTGGGAGGTCCCATTTCGATTGGAGAAGGGAACGAGTGCCAACGAGAACACTAGGCTCCGAAGGGGGTGGATTGTGAGATCCCACATCAATTGGAGAGGAGAATGAAATATTTTTTATAAGGGTGAAAAAAACCTTGAGGGAGAAGCGTAAAAAGAAAAGCAAAAGATTGAGAAAACTTTACTTGAGGTGTTAGAGTTAATGATTCTGAAACTCACGATAAATGAGAAGAATAAAAGAATAAAGTATATGATTAAGATTAAGAAAAAATACATTAACTTATAAACCCTACCTACCGATCGAATCTCGGAATGGAAGATGCACATCAATAATATAAGCGTAGATTGATGTGATTGAAAGAAGAAAACTTTATAGTAATATTAACCATGGAGAATAGTATAGGATGATAATAAAATCAATTGCTTAAGAACATATTAAAGGAAAAGAATAAGAACATATCAAAGTTAAGCAATCTATGTCTCAATGTTTTTGTTACATTTTTGTTACATACATTAAGCTACCATGTTGGTTAATGGTTTGGAAGTTTGTCTCCATGTCTTGTCCTTGCGTGGTTCTTTCTCTCCAAAACTAGGGCTAATTTTAAAAGTTTGGTATAACTTTTCTAGAGTAATTTTTAAATAAAAAGTAAAGACTTGATTTTTTTTTAAATGTTTATTAAAAAGTGGTTTTTTAAAGTACTTTAAAAAATAATTAACATTTTTAAAATTTTACCAATCAAATCAACTTTATCTGATCATCACAAAATGTCTTTGGTAACTTTTTGAAACTTTTTGAAATATCCATATGGAATGAAGGAATTAATAATGGCTATATTTTTCAAAATCAATATTTCAAGAAGGTAAAAATAAATAAATAAATAAATATAAATATGGTATGTATTTAAGTTAAATTTTGAAAAAAAAAATTAATAATAATAATTGAAGGGCTAAATAATTTAAATTTTGTACTTTATTTATGACGTACTCATATAGTATTGTGATTAAAGAGTTGAGTGGGTTGAAAGGGCAATTTGTTGTAGGGTTAGGGTTAGGGCAACTTTGGAGAAAATTATGGGTACAACTTTTGAAGTGGTGGGTTATATATATATATATATATATATATTTGGGAAAAAAGGATTTATTATATTACTCATAATTTTTGTATTTATTATATTCCCTTTTTTCCAACACAATCATCAAATCTCTTCCAAACCTAATTATCAGTTATTTTAAATCATTATTTTTTTTATGAATTAAATATATATAATAATGTGTACACATTACTTTAATTTTTTTTTTAAATGCGAATGAAGATCCACATCGAAGTAAAGTGACTTTTGAATGTATTAAGTTCATTAATTTAGTTTGGTCAAATATTCGTCGACAACTAATTAAAGGAATCCCTTAAAATTCCTATTCCAATACATGTATTTGGTAGTATATAAATTGTACACATTAATCATGTGAGCTTAAGGAGTATGGTATTAATATTATTTAAATTCCATGTATTTCCACTAAACTTTGTAGCATAATTAATTAAATGTGAAGTTCCATTGCCCAAAGCCCAAAGCCCAAAGCCCAATTTCTGTTTATTTTATTCAATCCAAAAGTTGACACGTGGATTTTTCCAAAGTAAGCAAGATT